ATAATTCCCCCAGGGGGGGGGGGGGAGGAGAAAAGGGGGTCGGAATATTTGGTGACACGAAGAAGATTCTCTTCGGGAGGGGGGGCACATTGTGCCAATCCCCAGGTTCTTTGTAACATAGAAACCCACCCCTGAACCCTTCTATTTTCATGTTGCCCAGTCCCCCCCCAATAAATTGAAATAAAAAAAAAAATTTCTCACAGGAGAAAACCTAAGTGTCTGAGGGATGGAACTGCTTGCCCAAAGTCAGCGACCCCAAGTGGCAGAGGGGGGATTCAAACCCCGAGTCTGTTGGACTCGAGTCCGATGAGAGGGCACTGGCTCGGATTTCACTTAGGGCGGGTGAGGGGCCGGTGCCCAGGCCCAGGGTCCCCTCCTGACCACCCTCCTCCACCCCCGCCCCCCCCAGGTTGGCTACCAGATCCGCTTTGAGAGCACGCGTTCGGCGGCGACCAAGATCGTGTTCCTGACCGTGGGGCTGCTCCTGAGGCAAATCCAGCGGGAGCCCAGCCTGCCCCAGTACCAGGTCCTGATCGTGGATGAAGTCCACGAGCGCCACCTCCACAACGACTTCCTCCTGGGCGTCCTCCGGCGCCTGCTGCCCAAGCGGCCTGACCTCAAGGTCATCCTCATGTCGGCCACCATCAACATCTCGCTCTTCTCCAGCTACTTCGGCAGCGCCCCTGTGGTGCAGGTGCCCGGCAGGCTCTTTCCCATCACGGTCAGTGCTCCCCCTCCCCCGACACCCTCCTCCCTCCCACCCGGTCTCTGGCCCAACCTGGACATGTCCCTTCTCTGTCTGCTGCTCTGCTTCCCTTCCCTTCAGTTAAGGATATTATCTCTCTTTTCTCTCTCTTTCTCTCTCTCTCTCGCTCTTGCTCTCTTTCTCTATCTCTGTCTCTTTTATAGCTGCCATATCTGAGCATTTTCATGTGCTGGGAAGAGTGCTAAATGCTCATTAGAGGAGACCCAAAAATATAAAGGCTCAAATGACATAGCAGTTGATTTTTCTGATATAACAGTCTGGCTGGTCCAGGCTGATGGGCAGCTCAGTTCCATGTGGTCATCCAGGGACCCAGGCTCTTTCTTTCTCGTTGCTCTGCCATCTCACAGAGCTGGTTTCTCAGACCCAGTATTGACCTTTTGTGCTGGATAATTATTAGCTGTGGGCGCTGCCCTGTGTGTTGTGGCATCATTAGCAGTATTGTTGGCTTCTATCCAAAGATGCCAATGGCATCCTTCTCTCCCAGGTGTGATACCCAAATGTGTTTCCAGATGTTACCAGCTATCCCCTGGGGGTTGAGCACCACACCTGGTAAGAGTCCTAGGGAGTGTCCTGGTCTGTCTGGTCAGAGTTGTGGGAAGAGGAAAGGAGCGAAAGTCCAGGGAAAATCCAGTGTGTGTGAAAGTTGGACGTGCCCTTGTAGTTATTTCCATTCTAATCTCTGAAGTACACCTAGCTGCAAGGGAGGCTGGCAGATGCCATCTCTCTCTCTCTCTCTCTCCTGTGTTCCAGGGAAGACTTTCTGGGAACCACCATCGGTCTCCTACACCAATCTCATCTCATTCTCACAGCAATCCTGGGGGTGGGCCTGACTCCAACACATTTCACTCACCATCCACCTGAGGTGTAATATTGTTGAAGAAGCTGAAACCAAGAGGCAAACCTTTTTTTCAGGTCCTCTTAAAATTGCTATACTCAAGCTAGCCGAAGATTCTTTTTAAAAAAATATGTTTTTATCAATATATTTTTATTTTAGAGAGGAAGGAAGAGGGAGAGAGATAGAAACATCAATGATGAGAGAGAATCATTGATCGGTTGCCTCCTGCACGCCCCCTACTGGGGATCGAGCCTGCAACCCGGGCATGTGCCTTTGACTGGAATCGAACCTGGGACCCTTCAGTTCTCAGGCCGATGCTCTATCCACTGAGCCAAACTAGCTAGGGCCAGAGATTCTTTGTAGCATCCCAGCTCTTTAGTCCTGAACTCTCAGTCAGCAACTTCTATCTTGAACTTGCCCTGTTTCTCAGCCTATTTGCTATGGCTTGCATACAGTTTTTGTCCATAATATTAATGATGATAATCACAGCTAACATTTATTGAGTATATACTACAGGCTCAACAGTTAACACACAAGAACTCATGTGAGTCCCTTGCCACAACCTCGCTAGTTCTGTGCCAGGAGTTACTACCATGAAGGTAAAAGTGAAGCTCAGAGGTGTGAGGTCACTGGTTCCCGGGACGACTCAGAGTGGCAGAGCCAGGACTGAGTCCTGCTCATGGACAGGCAGGCCTGTGCCAGAAAGCTTCTGTTTGCTCTTCCAGATCTTCCTTCCCCTTCCCACCTTCCTGTCTTCCCTGGGAGGCGGGCCTGTATGCATAGCACTGATGGCCCCTCTCCGCTCTGGCTTCCTCCTGGCTAGTGGGGAAAGCAGAGGCAGCTCCCTCCCTCAAGGTCTCTGGTAGGCTGTTTCCTCCCCGAAGTCACAGCTCCTTTCAAGATGGCTCCCTCCACACGGCTCTGTCCTTCCTGTGTTTTTTGTTGTTGTTGTTAATCCTCACCCGAGGATATTTTTCCCATTGATTTTTAGAGAGAGTGGAAGGGAGAGAGGGAGGGAGGAAGGGAAGAAAGAAGGGAGGGAGATGGAGAGAGAGAAATATCGATGTGAGAGATGGATTGGTTGCCTCCTGCAGGCACCCAGACTGGGACGGGAGATTGAACCTGCAACCCAGGGACTTGCCCTTGACCAGAAACTGAACCTGAGACTTAGAGGCGTGGGCGGATGCTCTAACCACTGAGAAACACCAGCCAGGGCTGTCCTTCATGGTTTTGACCAGCCACTCCTTCCTTTGTGCCTTTGGGCTAAGAATTGGTAATAGCTCTGAAGTTCTTAGCACCAGGAAACTGCCCTGCCCCGCGGCTGCTGCTTCTAAATGCCCATCAGTCTGTCTTCTAGGCAGCCAGAAAAAAAGAGTGAGGGTGCCTTCTGAGAAGGGATTTCTAGGGTTTCCATCCTGGCTGCACCCCTTAAAATTTGTTGTTGAAGTTATACTCCAAACGTAAAACAATGTACATATCATGTACATAGTTCAATTAATTTTCACCAACTAAATACCTGGATGCAGCCAGCACCCAGATTAAGAAGCATCAAACCTTGTCGGCACCCAGAGGCCTTCCAGTTACCTTCATACTTTGTGCTTTACTGCATCCTCTTCAGGTTGCCCTGTGTGAGTGTGGTCTCCCCGCCCCTTGCTCTGAGCTGGGGTGGCAGCGGGCGCTCATGCCTGGGGCTGTCTCCGCGCAGGTTGTGTACCAGCCGATTGAGGCCGAGCCGTCAGTGTCCAAGTCGGAGAAGCTGGACCCGCGGCCCTTCCTGAGGGTCCTGGAGGCCATCGACAGCAAGTACCCACCCGAGGAGCGGGGCGACCTCCTGGTCTTCCTCAGCGGCATGGCGGAGATCAGCGCTGTGCTGGAGGCCGCCCAGACCTACGCCAGCCACACCCAGCGCTGGGTGGTGCTGCCGCTGCACAGCGCCCTCTCTGTGGCCGACCAGGACAAGGTATCCTGGCAGCCAGCAGGGTGGGGTCTGGCTGTGTGTGCCCGGGAGGAGGGGGGTGACTGCACCAGGAGGGCTGCAGGGCTGCTCCCATTATCTGGCGGCGGGAGTGCCAGGGTGAGACTCCTGGTAAAGTCGGAGGCATTGGGGCTTAGCTGTGGGGGCCTAGGAGGGTTTGGAGTAGGAGACAGGCAGGCAGTCCAGGCAGGGGCACCAGCTTGAGCAAATGTATGGATGTGGGAATCTGTGAGTTGGGTGTGAGGAAAGGTGAAGAGACCACCAGGCTGGAAAGGAGGGTGCGGGGAGAGAGCACTTTGGGCCACTGTATTAGTTATAAATTTTCCCCAAATTTAGCATCTTAGAACGATAAACATTCATTATCTCACATAGTTTCTGTAGATCAGGGGTTGGGAAGTGGCTTAGCTGGGGGGTTTCTGGTTCAGGATCTTTCATGAGGTTGTAGATGGCTGGGGCTACACTCACTCGAAGGCTTGACTGGGGCTAGGGGTTCTCACACGGCTGGCTGTTGGCTGGGGGCCTCTCTAGGGGGCTGCTTCGGTGTCCCTGCAACATGGTGGCTGGTTCTCCCCAGGAGACTTAAACAGAAGCCACAGCGTCTCCTGACCTGGCCTTGCAGTCACAGGCCGTTTCGGCAGTGTCCTGTTAGTTAAGTTGTGTGCGTTCACGGGGAGGGTGAGACCCCCTGGGCCATCCTGGAGGCTGACTGCATCATCTCATCGGCCCAGTCATTGCTTATGGATTGAAGACACGACCCCTGAGCATCTCCTTGGCGCCTCCCCTGGTGCTGAGGGGGCTCTTTGAGACACAGTGGGAGCCAAGATATGGCCCTTCCCCTTACGTGGCTGTTGGTCTGCTGGGGGAGACGGACAAGTAATTGACAGTTTTACAGATGGTAGAGGAACCTCCTGAACTCTGAGAGCGGAATCTTGGTGGATTCAGGAAAGGCTTCCTGGAGGAGGGGGCTTTCAGAACTGACCTGAGAAAGCCGCAGCCTAAGAAGGGGGCCGGGAGAAGAGTCCAGCCGACGTGTGTGGAGCATCTGCGAGAGGCAGGAGTTCTGGGCTCTGTACGCTTGTCTCATTTAGTCCTCACCGCAGCCCTGTCTGCCAGTCCTGCTGTTATTCCACTTAACAGATTATAGAATCAGAGGTACAGGCACCTGTGCAGTCACATAAGAGGCAGAGCCAGGCTGTGCATTGGGTAATTTGGCACCAGAGCTCATGCTCTTAACGAGAGGTTGGCAAACTTGTAAAGGGCCAGGGAGTCCATATTTGTGGGTTCTCAGTCACAGCGAATCTGTTACAGCGGGAAGCGCAGCTGTAGACGGGCCAGGCGAGGCTGTGCCGTTAAACTTGATCCACAGACACAGGTGGCAGGCTGGTTTGGTCTCCAGGCCATAGTCGCTGACCCCCGCTGTAAGCCACTAGGCTTGACTGTCTCTGGGGTCCTAGAGAAGGGCCTGTGCAAAGGGCCTGGGGTGCGAAAAAGACAGGGCAGCTGGGAAGCTACAGGGCTAGGGTCCAGACTATGAAGGGAAAGTCCAGGGAGATGGGACTGGAGAGCTACGCAGAGTTCGACCACCAGGGTCCTTGAGGACCAGTGTGGTGCCTGGGTTTTGTCCCAAGAGCACTGGGAAGCCATGGGAGGGTTCTAAGCAAGGTGGGGCCAGTGCCAGTTTGTGCTTCAGCAGATCCCTCTGCCGCTTGTGGAGGATGGGCTGGAGGGAATAAGTCTGGAGGCCAGAGACCAAGGAGGAAGCTGGAGCAGCATCTGGTGGGGAAGGAGGGGCCTGGACCAGGGCAGGGCCGTGGGTGCGGGGGATGGGAATGTTGAAGATGTCCAGGTGTGTGAGGAACGGGGAGGGAGGGGAGGGCCCAGGACAGCCCAGGCACCTGGTCCAGAATGCTGAGCCATCTCGGAGGTGGAGACTTGAGGAGGACAGGCTTTGGTGGGAGGCACCGAGGCCAGGTTAGACATTTGGGTGTGAGACACCCCGGGGGTGTCCAGGAGGCCCCTGGACACACGGGTGAGTAAGGGCCGACTTAGCCCCTGGTCACCTACTTACCGCCCCTAGGTATTTGACGTGGCCCCCCCTGGAGTCCGGAAATGCATCCTCTCCACCAACATCGCTGAGACCTCAGTCACCATCGACGGGATCCGCTTTGTAGTCGATTCCGGTAAGGGCTGCCCCAGCGACCCAGGGGCGGAAGGGGAGTGAGTGTGGGAGGGGGAGATGTGCCGGTGTAGCGAGATTCCGAGACCGCCAGACCACAGCTTGAGGGCTGTGGAGCAGTGG